TACAGTAAAAACCCGCGTATAAGAACCTAGAATTTTGGAGTTCAGGCTGAACAGGTTCTTATATTTTGGGGTATTTTTTCCAATAACAGGCTGATTAGGTTCTTAGTAGGTTCTTATTTGCAAAAGTTATCATAGTGATAGCATTCGGGGGAACTGCAATAGTACTAATATGCTATAATTGTAGAGCATTTACAAAAATGTCAAGCCTTGTTGACGAAACAAGTCCTGTATCATGGTCCAAGAGAAAAGTCCTGTATTTTTTTATATTGTATTAAAAAAAAACTGTTTTGATTTTTAAATGTGCTGTACAGTTTTTATGACTCTATTTGTAACTACAGCAAAGTTTAATGGAATGAATAATATTTTTTTGGTGAGGCTGAAAAGCAGTACACCACAAAAATTTTCACAATTAAAATCCAGAATTTGAACATCAAATCTGGAGTGTTTTTTTATATAAGAACCTATTTTTCTTTGTCAGGCTGAATAGGTTCTTATATATTTGGATATTAAAATGCAAAATTTCAGCCTGTAGGTTCTTAAATCACTAGGTTCTTATACGCGGGTTTTTACTGTATAAGGGATTATGAGCAGGGTGGTTTGACGATGATTGATATGCATACGTTCAATAAGTCTCTCAAAGCATCCTGGATGAAGAAGTACCTTGACCCGACAAATAATGGAAGGTGGAAGTTTTTCTTTGATGTTAATCTTAAAATGTATGGTGGGAATTTTATTTTCTCTTGTAATCTACACAAAGATGACATTCCACTGTTAAAAGTACGTAATCCTTTTGTATGTGAGGTCATGTCAATCTGGGAGGAAATGCATTTCTCTGAGGCTGTAGCCATCTCCATTGCAAATGCGGGCGATCAGATTATTTGGCTTAATTTATTGGTAAGAATTGACAATCAGCCTGTATTCCGTAAACACTGGATGGATCATGGTGTCTGCAAAATTTCTCATCTATTAGATGAGGGTGGGAACCCTCCTCGGATATGATGCCATGAAATCAAATTTTCAGGAGTTAAATTGGTTAGAATATTGCAGGATAGCTTCAGCTTGCAAATCACTTATAAATAAGGTGCAAAATGAAGCAACGTACGAGGTTATTTCCACCGAGGGAACATCTATAACTGAATTAACATCTAAAAGTAAAGTTAACAACTTTATTTATAAGTCGCTACTGAGAAAAAGAATCTCTGCACCCATTAGAAGCCAAGAGAAGTGGCTCAGTGACCTTCAAGTCGAAAATGCAAGTGATATTGATTGGAAAGATGCATACACAATCGCTTTCCACTGTACGGCTTCCACAAAATTAAGAACTTTTCAGTTCAGTTTTTGCATCGGAGGATTGCTACCAATGATTTTTTAAAGAAAATTAATTTAAAGCAATCGGACATATGCTTTTTTTGCCAAAGGGAAATAGAGTCTATATCTCATCTATTTCTGAGATGTTCGGCAACAATTGCTTTTTAGAACGATGTTAAACAATTTTTAATTCACAATTAAAGGGCCTCAAGAGTATTGCACTAACCGATTTGCATCTGACGGGGCTCTCTAAATTTGCACCCTCTACCGCCATTGATCTCGTTCTTCTTATTGGAAGATATCATATATACTCGAGCAAACTTGCAGGTACGTCTCCCTCCATGACTCTTTTTAAGGGCAAACTAAATTCCGTCATTGAGATGGAAAAACAAGAAGCACTCCACTGTAATTCTTTCACCGTCTTTTCAAACAAATGGAAATTTTTTCTTATTTAAATATGTTGCTTGCACTGGTTACCCGCTAGCTAATCGCTTTGATTTAGCCATGTGTCCTGCAAAGTTGAGCCATCCACCGTCCACCGTTCACAGTCCTTTCCTTGTAAGTAGCTAAGCGAATTCAAGCATAAATGTAACCTCAGCTATTTTTATGTTTGTTTCGTCAAGTTGTAATATGTATACGTTTTGGGGTTTTGTGTGATGTAAATTTAGCTCAAATAATAAATTAAATAATAATAAAAAAAAACATTCTAGCTCTATGTTATTTATTCGGAAAAACTTATAAACCAGCCCACAGTAGCGCCCCTCAAGTTACTGAAGTCGACAAACTCGACCAAATTACAGAAAAAGTTATTAACGTGAGCACACACGTTCCACTGAACGCTTTGATGATTCACTTGAAACGCGTGAAATTGAGAGGTGTAGTGTAAGTGAACCAGTGTTCAAACACAATTCATTTAATTGTGCCCACGACGTTCACCACAAAAAATGTGGTCTTGGGTCTTTAATATCAGCACAAGTTAAGAAGACTTCTTGACAGTAACGGTTTCATTTTATGGTAAATTTCAGAAATTTTCTACATGTGAAATTCCCAATAATTAAAATTAATGATTACATCTAAAACGTCGTCAACTGTTTATAGCTTTTAACAATAGCTGGGCTGGGTTGTTCAAAGCTCAAAACCCAGGCTTAGTGCGAAATTTGAATTCAGATGTGAAAGGCAGAGCTTCACTATCTATGAAAACTAAGTTATTAACAGCTTTATAGAAAAAACTACATCCAAAAATTCATACCCTTATGAGACAGGTAACAGATTTGTTAGTTGGCGGCGGGTCTTAAAGGTTACATCGCAACGGAAGGGAAGCTTCAAAATTAGTTTTTTTGCACGGCGCTACTCGTTTTCAACTCGTTGAATGGACTGTGGCGACCACACTTGGGTTGCATAGCCGAGATGGCACCGGACGATAGAAAGACGGTAGTTCAAGGTTAGATATTAGTCTTTAAGTGAGCTACACCTAACGCTGACAAATAACTTA